GGCAGCAGTTCCTGCAGACCTTAAGTGGAAGTAGGCAGTCTCCTCCCTAGCTACTGCCACGGTTCCCTCTCAGATGGCCGTCGACAGGGAGGACGCTGGCTAAGTTGTAGGAGGAGCTGCCGCTCCAAAACCTCTCACCTGGTGCTGTTCTCATCCCTGGGAGTCAGTGACGAGCCTGCTCGCCCACCACCCCCTGGCCAGTCCCACCCATCGCCCCTCCGAAGTCTGCTGAAGGGAAATGGGGTTCTTCAAGGAGGATCAGCTGGCTGCCCAAGGGGTTTAAACTTGATAGATGCAGGCCCTTCTCGCACAGAGAAGGCCCCAGAGCCCCTGCAAACATCATTTTTTTAACAGCTCCCTGAGAACTGTCTGACCGACTCCCATTTTGTTAGCAGGGGTGGGGGTGCAGCAGAAAGGTCCTTAGTGTCTCCTGAAGTACTTGTGTCTGCACCCCTCCTCCCCCTGTTTCTCTGGATGAACCCGAGGTGCTGCCCCATCCAGATCCTCTCATCACCGACTTGTGTACCCTGTCCTTCCTACATTCCCCCGGCAAGCAGCCCCCGACCTCTCAAGAGCAATAATTGCCAGCATCATTAATACCCAGCCATTAGCTGCTCCCACTATTTGGGGAGTGGGAGTTCCCATCCATTCTGCCCCTAAATGCCACTGAGCTGGTGTGCTGCATTGAACGTGACAGCTGTGCTGCATCCTAAGGTCTCAGCTTTGAGAGCCATCCTCTGTGGGGCTTTCCGAGTGGCAGAGGGGAACGGCTAATCTGCAGTACCCCCAGGAGAAAGCCTGGGCTGGAGTGAAGGGCGATGCTGACTCCCCCATCAGCAGAGCCGCAGGGTGACCCGAGCTGCTCGTGAGTGGGGCCTCAGACACAAACAGCCCTGCAGATCTGGCCAGGCCCCGGGCAGTGGGGTCTGCACTGCCAGCAGCTGTGGAGACCTTTTGACTTTGGTCCTCCTGCTGTCTCCAGCTCCGTCCCCCCAACTGTGTCTCCGTCGCAGCCTGTGGCGCATCCCTGCACCTGCTGCTGCTGAAAGGGCACTTGGAGGAGAGCCAGCACTGACCCCATTCGGTCCCTGTGCTGCCAGCTCAGCAATGGACTGCCATGCTGCCTGTCTCCTGTCCCCTCCCTCCCTGCTGACACCTCCCGCCTTTGTTTCTCTCCCCTTCTCCTGATTATAGGTTTCTCATCTCTTCTTGAGGTTTGTCCCTCAACCTCTGTGCCCTCAACTGCAGGCAGGCCAGGGATGCTAGAAGCTCCCTCTCTCTCCCCTGGGGAGACAGTGCTTTGGGATGAGGTCTCCCCCAACCCAAGCTGTTGACCTTCCCCTCTCTGTGAGGGTGGTTCCTTTTCCGCCCTCTCATTTCTCCCAGCACCACCTTCCAGTCTCTCCAGGTCGCATCACTGTGTGTGTGTACAAGCAGAGACACACAGCTGTGGTGTCTGACTCAAAAAAGGAGGGTGTGGCCAGATTGGGAGGGCCACTTAGAAGTGTCCCTTGTTAAATTAACTCCTTGATGTGCACCCTGGTGGTGCCAAGGTATCAGAAAGAACACTGGGTTTAAACTCAAAACCTTGTAAACAGGCTCACATATCAAGTCCTTCTTGAATTTCTTTTTACTCTGTTGATAAACTGGGACTTTATGATAGCTGATGCTTTTAAGGTACTTTTGGGAGGCAGGAGTAGGAAAAGTGGTAGACAGTTCTGAATCCCTGGACCTTGTGGAAAAGGCTCTGTCAGTCAGTCCAGTGCATTCCTCTGCCCATCCCCCCACCTACCCATCTTGGGTTTAATAACCATGCTGATTTTGGGCCTGGGAAGTTCAGTCCAGAGTGAGAGTTTCGAGAGGACAAAGTGACAGTTAATAAAGGACACAGACGGGTGCTGTTCGGTGCTACGGGGTCCGTTTTCACTCCTAGAGACCCGATGCACAACAGAACAGAATACTGCCTGGGCCTTCACCAACCTCACGATTGTGCCTGTGTTTGATCTCAGTGCGGCAGACATCCCAGTCCCTCTTGTTGAGGGTCTTCCTTTTGTTTGTTGACCCTCTACCAAGCCTGGTGTCTTTCTTTAGGGCCTGGACCCTCCTGGTAACATGTCGTAGAAGGAAAGACAAAATCACCTCCCTTGCTTCCTAGGAGCATGCTGGCTGTTCATGGTACAGCCATGCTTGTTCATGCTTCTGGCAGTTCGTGGTACTTTGAGTATTCTTCAGTCTTCCTCATGCACTGTCCAGCTTTTGCCTGCACGTGAGGCAATGGGAAATCCTATGGCGCAGGTCTGCTGCCTCTTAATCTTCAAAGTGACATCTTTATCATACTTTCAAGCAGTGGTTCTTTCATACAGTCCCTCATGTGGTGGTGATCCCCCAACCATAAAATTATTTTTGTTGCTACTTCATCACTGTCATTTTGCTATTGTTATGAGTCGGGTGACCCCTGTGAAAGGGTCCTTTGACCCCCAAAGGGGTCGAGACCCACAGGTGGAGAACCACTGCCGTTTAAAGGATCTCTCAAAACAGATTGGACCAATGTAGCACATCATTTGATTTTTCTGACAGTTGTTTCTATTGTCACTGATTGTGAATCTGAATAAAATGAAATCCTTGACAACTCCATTATTTTCTCCATTGATCATTGTGTTGCTTATTGGCCCTGTTGTGAACATTTTCATTTTCTTTGCATGAAGCTGCAATCCCCACT